CCCCCCCCCCCCCCCCATTGTTTTCATTGACAAAGAATGACTGGTTCTGGTAAATAAACAAATACAATTCAATGTAAGATGAATTTGATGGAACACTTTATTTTATTTTTTTAAGTGCCTGTTATTTTTTCGGGGACCCAACAGTCCAGAGTGTGCATTGGATGTGTACAGGAGGGGTTCTAGAGGTGGGATGAATGTGAAAGGAGAAATGGGACAGCCTTGGTGGGTACCATTGGAGATTTGAAAGTATTCAGATCTCATTTCCTTAACCTAAATCTGGAATCCAAGATAACATTCTCCCGGGACCTATATGCCATAGGGTGAGTTTCTAGAAGTTCTGTGTGGGTTTGAGCAGTGTAGATGACATTCAGGACTCCGGTGGTATTGTCTCAGGATTCCCTGAGGGGGATGTAGCCCACTTGGTCGTAATGGATAAGTCTGGTTATAAATCGGTCATTATTTTTTTAAATCTGTATTTCAGCTGTGTATTTGGCACATAACACATCTACCTGGCTTTGAGCTCTAAAGTATTTCCAAAGCCATTTTTTAATTGTTATTATTTTGGATAGAGTAGGGTAGGGTTAGAACCACTGTCAGTTTTGGGGGTTTTTTGCCACCTGTGTCTCATTGGGGAGATCTCCCTTCACTTCCTGTCCTGTAGACTCAACAGAAAATGGGGGGATGCATTTCCCAGTGAGGGAAATCAACATTCCTGGAAGTGTCTGTGAAGGTTCTCATTCATCCAGGCCATGGTATATCTGTAGAAAATGAATCAAAACAACTGGACTTGCTATATTTTTCTTGAAGATGTTTTGCTGGCCATCCGACTAGCATTCTGAATTGAGAAAGCTAGCCAGATGACTAGCGAAACGTCTTCAAGAAAAATACAGCAGGTCCAGTTGTTTTGATTTATTTTCTGCAGATATTCCTGGAAGTGTTAATTGCGGAAGATATTTAAGTTGGAGACTCTTTATTACAGTGATGTTCAGTGGTGTTGTCTGTGGGAGAGGTATTTACCATCTTCATTCCACGTATTATGTTTTAGCTATATTGTTTCTATACAGAGATTCACTTCCTGACCCACTTTTACTCCCCTTTATGACACTCCTCCTCT